ACGACGTCAGAGATCTCCCGTTTATTGGAGCGGAGAATCGACAGAAGTGAGACGATGCTCGTGGTTCTTCAAAGGACCCACCGAATCGAGATACGTTCCTTACGACGAGAACACCGCTTGTAAACTCGAGGAAGAGTATAAACAAGCGTGTCTGCTCAACAATTGGAATCGAAGGATCGATTTGAACAATGGGGAATACATTATTTTCCACAGCGCCTCTGTTCAGGTCCACTACTTGACGGCTGCTTCACCGGAATTGGCTGCGTCATGGGGAAATAGTGCGGTAAATAATATATTTTAATTAATTTCCATCTTTATTACTAAGTTTTTCAAATATCAATATTTAAGTATTTATGTTAATCTTAGCAATGTAATAAATTAATCTTAGAATTAATCTTAGTAAGAATTAATCTTAATAATGGAAGATTAATCTTTCCATTATTTTAAAATGTTAAATTATATTTTATATTTAATGTATTTAATATTTTTATCTTATGCAATTTAACCAATGTATTATATTTTTTTACTTTTTTACCTAATACATATACATATACATATACATGTATATTAATTTCATAAAATTGTATATTTGATCATTTTGTTGAATCATTTTTATTTTCAAATTTATTTTTCTGCATTGCTTCTTCTTTTACATTAAGTCACACATCTTTCTTTTTTTTATTTTATTTTTATCATTATGCACAAATGATTCTGTTAGAAATGTTCAATCGCAATTTGTACAGGGCTCAGAGGACAGTACATATTTACAGGGTGCTGGTAGTAGGCCTAGGGTGATAAAAAGAGGTCTTGACGAGTTCCACATCGAAGATGGCGAGCCCGAAAAAATAGATCATGTTCTATTCCTCGTCCATGGCATCGGTAGCGTCTGCGATTTGAAATTTCGAACTGTGGAAGAAGTCGGTACGTTTAAAATTATTTTCACCAAGTTCTTAGTTATTATACAAAATATTGTATAAAATATTATGCATAATATTTTCTTATTTACAGTTGACGAATTTCGAAGTATTTCATTGCAATTGGTACAATCTCATTATCGAACCGCTAGTGAGCAGAGAATTGTAAATAGGATAGAAGTTTTACCAATCTCGTGGCATACAACTCTTCATTCCGACACTGGAATCGATAAAAAGTTACAAGCTATCACCTTGGATAGTATATCGAAATTACGACACTTCACCAACGACACGTTGCTCGACATACTTTTTTATACCAGTCCTGTATATTGCCAAACTATTATCACAACGGTTGGAAACGAATTGAACAGGCTATATGCTCTTTTCAAGAAACGAAATCCAGATTTCGACGGTGGAATTTACCTTGGCGGCCATTCTTTGGGCAGCTTAATTTTGTTTGATCTTCTGTGTCATCAGAAACCATTGTCGGATGATAAATCGAATGAGAATAATAGCGAATCTAACGAGGAACAGGTGATTAAATCTAATTTTATCCAATTATGAAAGAGAAATGTATAAAGGAAAATTCGAGATGATTTTTAATAAATTTTATTTCGAATATATAAGTTAAAAATAATCTAAAACATTAAAACAATTGTATATTAATGAAAAATTTTGAATTTTTTTTCAGAAACAAGAAGATGTCGATTCCTCTGAACTACCCAATAGTGTCTTAAAACGACGTCTCAGTAAAAAAATAAGCTACGTGGTAGGCGCTGCTGGGACTGGTCAGCCTTACATACATTACACGCAATTACATTTTCACCCACGTGCCTTTTTCGCTTTCGGTAGCCCGATTGGTATGTTCGTGACAGTTCGAGGCATCGATATGCTCGGAGAAGACTTTGCATTGCCAACGTGCCCTGCTTTCTTCAATATATTCCATCCCTTTGATCCTGTAGCTTACAGGATCGAGGCGCTCATTAACCCAGATGCTCCTAAATATCGACCAATGTTGATCCCTCACCACAAAGGACGGAAAAGAATGCATTTGGGTAAGCGTTTCTTTTATCTTCAAATTATAATTAAGAAATTATATTGACGTGTTGTGCATTTTGTGTAGAATTAAAAGAAACAATGGCACGTGTCGGTGCGGATCTGAAGCAGAAGCTACTCGATTCTGTGAGAAATACATGGAACTCTGTATATCAATTGGCACTGTTTCACAAACCGGATAACAGTACGCTCGAGCGTGAAATTGATAAAGTTATGGAAGAACAATTGCATCAAACCGTTCCGGAACATCAAACTAGCGACGACGGCGGTGTTGAACTTAAAGTGGGCAAATTGAATAATGGACGAAGAATAGATTACGTTCTTCAAGAAGCTCCGTTCGAATACATTAACGAGTATATTTTTGCTTTGACGAGTCACGTTTGCTATTGGTTAGTAATATTTGTAAAAATGTTTAATACGAATGAATCATATGTACAATATCAATAAAAATAAGTTTCAATCAATTAACATATCTTTAAAAATGTTTACTTTTGTTTAGGGAGTCCGAGGATACCATGCTATTAATTTTAAAGGAAATATATGGCTCGTCTGGTATTCAAACAGATGCTCAACTTCCAGCGTTATCGTTACAAGTGTGTCCCACGCCAAATTCTTCTACATATGAGACAGATGGACTATTACATAATCCTGTTATGGGAATAGATCCTACCGCACCTATATCCGAGAAACTTGTTGGTCCGCCGCCTAAAAGCGGATTTGTTAAAAAATCATGATCGAAATCATGATTGGAATCGCTTTAATTTCCTTGAAAAGTTTCACGACAATGAAGAACAAGATATTGTTACGAATCATATAATTGCTGCCGATCAGGTTGATGCGGGCATTGTACCTGATGTTAATGCGAGTTATAAATTTTAATTATTGAAAATAAAATTTTCTTGTTTCTTGCAAAAGTTACATCCGAGATTGTTATCGAATCTGCCGAAACATTCTAAAATATTATCCAAGTGGATTGTTTCTTCGTATTTTCTCAAATTCATCATTTAGATACGTCGGCCTACGCAACAACGTTCAAGCACTAAAAAAATAATTAGAAATAGTATTAAGAAAAAAAAAAATAATAATTGAAATAAATTGTAACGATTTAATCCTTAGATGTGATATAAAAATTATACATAGTCTATTGATATTCGCAATATCGTCATTTCGGCAAATTAAAAATATTACAACATTCATTAAAAATTTAGAGATATTGATATTGGTCAGGCGAACGAAAGTAAGACTTTGTAATACAAAAAAAAATATGTTATAAAGATTAATCATATTGTTTATTGTAAATATATGATTATATAAGTGGATATAAAGTAAATATATAGACTATATGAAGTTTTTCAAAATATGCTTGCATTTTATGAGAATTCATTCAATTCTCATCTATGCAAGAATTTTAATAAAAAAAAAAACCCTATTTTTTTACTTGGCAGATTCTTCTATATCTCATACCTTATTCCCCTATGCGCTCTTTTATGCCGTTCATTTATTTTTGAGTATTTGTTAATTTTATTAATTTAATCTCTGAAAATATATTTTATTTTAAATTGGTCTTGGGAATTTTTAAAAAATGAACGAATTTGATTACTTTATTATTATTATGGTATGTCGTTGATAATTTCAATAAATAAAGAATAATATTTATATCAATATTCAAAGAATAAATTCATTATTTAAGAAAAGAAGAGAATATGATTACAATAAACGTAAATATAGAATCTCAAAAATTCAAGGATTATTGTGATCAGAAAAACTATCCTTTTCTTGTTTTTTTCGAAAAATTTCCTGACAGCATAATTAATTGTCAATCAGATTCTCATTCTTTGAGAATGATGGTGATATATATATCCCACGAATCATCTAATAGCGTCATCTTATCGTGCGAGCGATTTTTAGCTTTAGCTGATATAAAAAAAGAATGTGAGTATTCGACACATGCACGAGTATCACGAAATGCTAATTAATTGCGGTGCAAGCCCACGGCCTGGGGACTGTTTTGCATTTTGCGTGCAGGTCTTCGTAAAACTACATGCCTGTCAGCCCGGCGAATTTCAAGATGATTTATCGTCTCGGCAAAACTAAGTTTTTCGCGATACTTCGGAGGTTCTGAAAGGTAATACCTTTGTACATGCAACTATAGTGTACTCCATACCTTTGCTTTACTCTATATCATTAATCGACGAATGTTATACAGTGTAAACTCTTTTAAATTGCTTTCCAGAGTCAAATGCATTCGAATTCTTCCATCTAAGATTAATGTTTTAGTAAGATAACCATAATTTAAAATTCTTCCATTCAATTAATAAGAAATTTGATACCATTAAATTGTCACTAGTGGTTTCCATTTGAAATGTTTCTGTGTATCGTTTAATTATTATCGATATTTATAATAGCCATTTCTTTCATTTGAAATGTTACCACATCACGATATTTTATATATAGTAGAATCGTGTTAATCGCGCAATAAAAGAATTCTTCAATAATTTTTAAAACTTTCTTTTTCATAGAAGAATTCAAGTTTATCTTTCTTTCTGAAATCTTCTTTGCATACTGCATTCGATGTATGTAAAATTGTAATATTTCATTGAATATAACTTTCCACTTTAATATACAGAGACATCAGAGAACAGACGTTTATGTCCAGCTGTTGTGCTGGAAAGTGAAGTAGGGATAAGATTTTATAACGGGACTCGGCAACAATGATTTACACCTTGGAAAAACTGCGCGACATTTACGGTATCTAGTCGCGAATTATTCATGGTGACTGCTGTTAAGAATTTTCTATCCACATTAAAAATTTCTTCTTCATTAAGAATTTCTAATTATCACAATGTCTTACTAAATTAAAATTAATTATTAAATATTATACTGTAATAGAAAAAAAAACAATATTTGTTTGTTGCTACATTGATATTGAATTAAACTATTTTAACATTAATCAATTAGTTGAGTAATGTCATAGTAGTTATCATAATTTATTGTAATAGTTTATATTTGGCTAAATTTGATTATAGTATTTAATTATAATAATTTGTATTTTGTTATTACAATATTTGTTACAATGCAAAACGTTGAATAAGAATATAAAAATAATTGATTTTTCAAACGTAACACGAATTCCTGTCATCGTCCATGAATCAATGATACCAGTTAGAATTAATTTTAGTTATCTTTCAAGCTTTTTATAAAGACATATATTTTATATATGAGATTCTATAAATTTCAAACGATTCGATTTTCAAGGTAAATTGAGAACAATTCCATCTTTAACGTCAATGACATTCACCGCTGCTCTATTCTTGTTCCACTCATCCTAGAATAGAGAACTCGTCGGTTATCCGTGTACAGACGTTAACAATACTTGACGCATTTTGAAAATTTGGATTTTTGCCGGTGTCCATTTTGACCCAGTGGGTCAGGCTACACGGATTCCTGGCACGCATCCATTTGTCGCTATTTTCTGGAATTACAGACCACTCCCCGCTTTTCTTTATCAACATTTGGCGATCAAATTCGAGTTTCGAATTAATCTTCGGCTTTTGGCTACCGTTTCCATTTATGACCGCCTTAACGTGAAACAGCATTTGCTAAAATAACGTGCTGACACTGATAACAGGCTCATGAAATTGTTCGTACTTTCCTATTTCCTGACACATGCATTCTCTTTTACAATATTGCAAGTATATCGCACATAAGTATATTTATAATACAAAATTTCTTCCTTTCGAATCTGTAAATATATTAAATAGATAGAAATTAACAAAAATTATGTCGGGATATTCAAATAATTAAAAAATTAAAAAATTTTCAATTTGAACATACGAAATATTTTAACAGAATTAATCCAATCGTTCCCCAATTTCCAAGTTATGTCAAAAATTTAGATCAAAGAGTTTCGGAGGATTCATTATGCGCATATCGATGTCATCAAGATTGCAAGATCATCACAGAGAGTGAAGAGTATAAATTACATGTCGGATGTCATCTCTTCCGCTTTTCCGTCTCCTAATTTTATTTTATTTTTCTCCTCTCGTTTTAACCTGAAATATTTCCAATAATTTCAGCTTCTCGAAGCGAGGTTATTTATATTTATTGATTTTTAATTTTCGTTGTTTGGAAGAAATCTTATTGTTTAATTTTTCGTTCGTGTTACTGATTATCTATCATAGGAATATCAATATTATTGATATTCGAACATTAATCTGATAATGATTAACTGTAAGTCAACTTATACGCAGAAATAACAATTTTCGTAACCGGATAACATTACACATTATGAAGTAATATAATAATTTATTTTTATTGTACTAACTATGTTCCATGAGAAGGATATCCTTTTTGTTTTTTTTCTTTTTTATATGCAAGAAGTTTAACACAGCGTAACTAATGCATCGAAACTGTTACGTGACAAAAATCATATTTTATTTATGTATACGTATTCTTTTGCGTATCACACTGTCATTTGCAGGAACGCGTTGTGGTTGAATCGCAACGAAAATATATTTTAAATATTTAGTTATATTATAAAATAAATATGATATTAATTTAAATTTAATATAATCAATTATGACTATGAAATATATTAATATGATTTGAATAGTATTCAACATTTTCTTTTTTGAAATGATTTAAAAAAATTTATAAAATTATTTACCATTTTTCGATCTTGATGTTTTTTTTAATATATTATCAAGATTATTATTCTACAAAAAGCTGTATATAATAAAAAATTTTTTGAAAACAATTTAAATTAGGTTAGGTCAAATATAATTTTATATATATTGACAGGTAGCTGGATTAAGAAAATTATACTCCAAATATTCTAAACCCAATGTTAACCATTAAATCGGCTAATATAATAAATTTTTATTTAATTTTAATTTGCGTGAAACTAAATTTAGAATTAACCATGTCAAATTAATTAATGTCAAATAAAAATTTATTTAATTTCTGATTTCATGATTTATGATTTAGTTTGAGTTAGGTTATGTTAAGTTAATAACTTTTTAATAAACAACACCAAATAAAACTTTCATAAACTTTTCACCATAATAACAGATATCAGGAAATTAATAAAAAATCATCAAAATGGAAAGTGGTTACCTTTTCGTAAATATTTACCTATATTAATGACTTACCTAACAAAAGTAAGATTGGTAAGAGAAAGTAAAGAGAATGAACAAATGGTATAAATAAACATCCAATTCATTTTCCATATCTTAAAGTCTCATCGACCGTGCAATCAATTTGAAAAAAACACGAGGCAACGAGCCGAGCCATGTGAATTGTTTCGTTGCGTCTTAACTTTTGAAACTGCGAAAACCTGGAGGAACCATAGCTTTCTTAAGACCTAGGTTAATATTTTCAGAGGTACAGCCACGCGTTCAGTTGGGAACTTGTGTGAAAACAAAAGAGAGACGGGTCCATTCGAAGCTTAACCGCGAAAAAGAGTGGGCACGTCGAGAACCACCAAGGTTTGTACACTTTTCTCCTTGATTCTCGGCAAATTTTGCCTCTTATTTTTTTCCACCACTACCACCACCACCTTTCATCTTCTCCTGCTCGTTATATATTATTTTTCTTCCATACTGGTGGATTGCATGCGAGAAATATACGCTCTCGCCTTACGTGCATGCTTCTCGCGCGCGACTTAACACTTGTACATCATCCAGCTTCGTGTGCACATCGCGCCACCTGTTTTTCTTCCTTCTTTTTTATGTCGCTTGCCATGTTAAATAATTTTTCCATTTACGGTAAAGAAGCGAGCATTTCTCGTGTTATCCACCGTTGAAAAAAAATATTGAAAGTGGTTTTATGGAATTTTAAAACTGCCGTCTTATGCTATTAGTATCATGAAATGGTTTTCTTTCGATATTCGTTTCACTTTTGGAAAAAAAAAAGTAACTCAAACGCCAAGCAAAAATTGATTTTTATCAACATTTTTTTTTATCTCTGAAATAAAAATTCGCTTAAACAATAAAAATTAAAGAAACAGAAAAGAAAACATATAAATACGATTTTTCGCTATAATTATAGATATTCGTGCCTCTCTAATTTGAATGGTGCAATCACAGAAGTGATTTCGGGACTGAAATAGATGAGATGAGGCGAAGGAATCTGGCGAGTCGTTAAATCCAACCCTTACTGCGATGTTTCACGCGATTACGCGTCCCCAGCATCGTTTGCAAACTTCCACGCACACGGAGCATTAATATCGTTGTTCAATAAGGTGCTTGCGGCACCGTTCTTCCCACCATTGTCGTCGACAATGTTCCTATCGCTTTGACAGTTAATGTGTATCAATATTCGCATAAGCAATGCGCCAAGTATTTGTGTTTATTAACCATAAAACCTTGAGTTTCGCAGGTGAGATTCAACCCCGCAAGATTTACGGTTCACAAACTTACGGCGGAGATACGCTTCTGGATGAAACTTGGTTTCATGCACTGAAGATTGCTCGAGTATTTTATACCGTTTAAATATATGACATAAGTTACATGGAAATTATTTTGAGAAGTTCATATTTAGAAATTAATATTTAAGAAAAGAATAACTTTCTTCGTACATTTTTACATTCTCTTTCAATATTGGATTGATTTTAAATTGTAATATTGTAATATATAATAGTTCCATTTTCTAATTAATTGCACTTGGCTATCTCAGCCCTCCAGTTATCAATTATTAAAAAAGCAAAGTCTAAAACGCAATTTTTTCTTATTTTTTATTTTCGTTATTTTAATTATTGCTTCCTTATGAAGCATACCAAGCAAGTATTTAAAATTTTCAATACTTTTCTAATTCTTCAGCCATTAAACATCTTGGTATCGAATCGTTCGTGCATTCAACGATTGTTAAAAATTCGTGTTCGCATGTAACGGAATTTCCGTTATATGAAAATCATTATAAAAATTCAACGAATTCATTTCATTGCGTTAAATTACGCACAGTGAACTTGAAATAATTTAACGAAATTTTCAAATATTCCCGGATACTTCTCGATACTCTCGGCCACGCCATAGACATTAAATTCGTGGCATTCGCCAAATACACGGGATCGCAATTAAACAGACGTCGCACGTGACGCAAAGTCCGTTCGTGATTCAAATTAATAGAATATCATCTCTGGATGGGCGAAGACGACGTTTTAAAGACGCGGATAACTTGGCATGTTTTAAACTATGCGGCCAATTCAGGGAAGAGCGTATCGATTTTATCATTAATTAACGGATAATTAAGAATTCTTTGCCTCGATAATGATAATTTCACGCTCAAATTGACTGCGTGTATTTAAATTTGAAACGATTGGTATGACGAAATTGATCGCTATTCACCGTTATATAAAATTAAATATTAAAAATGCGAGGATAAATAAAATTTCTATTTTCTTAAAAGATGTACAGTGAAACTCTGTATTTTTACGTAGCGTCTGATTATTCAAATTTTAGTCGAGCTCCTTTTATTCCCAACTACTTCCACTCACATGAATATAAATAGAAATGCATGATACACGTATCTGTGATGCAAAATAAGCAAAAAAATATAATTCATTAGTATTATTTATTATACTTGCAAAATTATTGAAATCCTTTTATATGGACACGTACCCTTATTAATTAAAATTATAATCGGATAATATAAACGATTACAAAGAAGTAATCTTATATCTTTATATTTATATTTCCTCCTCCGAATTGTTTCCCCTTTACATTTTTATTCCGTTTTTAAGGAGAAATAACTATAACGCTATGGGCACCAGTTCGAAATTTGCGCCAGTCTCCGCGTATAATCGTGTTTATTTCGCAATGGTTGCACGGCGCTGAGAATAGAACGCGTGGCATACAAACGACGCTGAAACATCGTTAAACAGACGTCGCACGTATCCGCGTCGCGGTGCAAAGTCCGACCGTAATTCGAATTAATAGAAACGGGGAGCCGCCTTAAAGTTAAAAGCCACCCCCTCGTAGCTGGAAAAACATAGCGTGTTCCACGAAAACGGGCCGTGACGCTGTAGCTGTTACGACGTTTCGAATGGCGTTACGGAATTTTCTCCATTCGATAGGACGGTAAATTAACGCGACGAAGTCCGGAATCTGGAAGAAAGAAAATGATAGATTTTCTTTTGGATTCATTCCTTTCGCAACGACCAGAATAATATTAATAATATGATAATGGATAAATTTTATCTCTTTTCTTCGATATTCGTCCCGAAGTACCATAATAAAAATTTCGATTGTTTCTCACGAAAAAATAAATAAATAAATAAAGGTACAATTCTCGAGCAAAAAAAGCACGGTTAATTAAACCAAAGATTTCTGTCGTCGAACTTTCTCTGCGGATATTCTGCCTTATCACGGCAGGCGAAAGATGTTTAAAAAGATAAAAAAAAAAAAAAAANNNAAAAAAAAAAAAAAAAGAAAAAAGGATACGGAATGCAAAGTAGGAGAAAGTAAGTAAGTAAGTAAGTAAGTAAGTTTATTGTTAGTTCTGATTTAAGATGTTCTTGCATCCGATGTTGCCGCCGGTATCTGGCAAACGAGGCGCAGAAGCACTCTCCTCAGGGTGATCGACGTTCCCACGATGGTTCTCAATATAGTCGAGTTCACTCGAGCCTTCCTATGAAAAGATAGAGGGAGGCCAGATAGTCGGATCACGAAATGGACTAGATGCTACGATTCGAATATGGAAGACGGTTGAGAATCGGGATGGTGATTTTTGGCGGATATCCAGCCAAGATGGGACGCGTGTTGCCCTTGTTGCCTCGCCCGCAGACGACAAGGAGAATCTTTCATGATTTGACAGCGCGACTGAAAGAAGCGACTCGAAAGTGCTACGAAGTAGTAACAGTAGTAGTAGTAGTAGTAATAGTAGTAGTGATGGTACTTACAAAACTTATTCTCCTTCTTCGATTTCTCGAGAGTAAAGTATCTATTCGGTTACGTTAACGTTCAACTCGAACAATTCGTCACGTTACTTGATCGTCGATCAATGGAAACACAGATTATTCGATTACCTTCACCCCGTGATTAAATTCTAATTTCGATCGATCATCTAACATATTAGATTGATTGGAGATCGAAATAATCTAGGATAACGAGGGATTAATAAATCGTTAATAATTTTAATTCAAGACGAAACGATAACGCAAAGACGAAGAAAGATAAAATAGAATCATTGATGAAGAGCGACTCTTGACGCTCGTTAACGCGTCAAAAAGATATGGCCAGCATCCAGTAAGAGCATCGTGCAAGAGCAAAGCTTGTATCGATATTTCTGTGCCAAAAGACTTGTGGATCCATCGGCGGTAGGTGAGGGAGGGTGAGGTTGGCCCCGGGACGAGCATCGTTACGTGTCGATCAGAGGTGAGACGTTGTGCAAAGGGGGAAGAGAGAAAGAGACAGAGAGTGTAAAAAAAGGATCGAGGAGTTGTTACGAGGAGAACAAAGGGTGGGTGGGCGAGGTTTAGCGGTCGTCAGACCGGGTGGTGAACAATAAAACGATAAATCAGAAGAACGGAAAAATAAGGGGCTAAAATAGAAAAAGCTTGTAGAGTAGATTTGGAGACGGGCCAGGGTGTAGGTGCAGTCACTGGGTGACTCTGTGGCCTTTGCGGCTCTCTCTCCCTTTTGCCTGCCTTCAGCTTCGCCGCTTTCTTCCATTTCCTTTGCTCTTCTTGCACCTACGTAATGCCGTTCCGCGCGCTACTTTCGCCTCTGTTTCCTTCTTTCCATCTCCTTCCCCCTGCCCCTCCTCCTCCTTCCCCCTCCTCCCTTCCTCCTTCTCCTCTTTTTATTTTCCTCCCTGTTTCCACAGACCCATCCCACAACTTTATTCGTTGACGCCGTTCGTGCTCCTTTCTTCTTGCTGTTACAACAACCCTTTCCTCGTACCAGTCGCCACCTACATTCACGTATATATATATATACACATACAATCCACAACGATCGCGACTAGTTCATAAATAAAAAGTTCTCGGTGCAAAGGTGTCGGACTTCAAAGTGTTGCTGGATTGTTTCCTATTTTCTCTACTTGTATTTTCCAACCAAACCTTGTTCTTCGTCTATCGACGAGAATTTGATTTAAAATTTCGCGGATTTCCAACCTGTGGATCGTTTGAGGGATCGCCAATCACCAATTCGTAATGTTAATTTTCATTAATTCTTCGAAGCTAATATATATATTTTCATCGTATTACCAAAATCCTCTCTTCTCTATCGCGAAATATTTTTTCTTTTTTATTCTACACGGATTATATTAATTAAACGGGAAAGTTAAAATTCACGGGGATCAAATATTAAAACACCGAATCGAAGGCTAGAAATAAAGGGTTGAACGAACGAACGAACGAAACGCTTCCATACACCGTTCCATACAACCGTTCCAGGTTTTATTAAACCTCGAAGCATAGTACTTTTCCTTTTCTTTCTTTCTTTCTTTTTTTTTTTTAATATATTTACTTTAATATATCCCCGGTAGTTAACTCGAAATTGAATTTTCTCCGATCGATTATAATGCTTTTCGGAGAAAGCTCCGACGAGCTTAATTATCGATAAAATTCTTTTGTTACCAAACCTGGGGGATCACGCGAAA